ACATTGTTGGCAGCGGATAAGGATTTCTATCTAGGATAATTATCAACGAGAGCTCAGAATGCGAAGAGAGAGGCAGAGAGGGGAGAGTGGGCTCGTTTCCGTCGGCTGGCTGGCTGATCGGGCACGGCCGAATTTTGTCTGTCGGCCCAATTTCGCGTCATCGTGTCGCCGTGTCGGCGCGGCGGCGTGCTACGGTCGACAGGAGCGCCACGCTGACGGTCAGGGTGCCAGCCGGGCGATAATCCGTAACGATCTTGGCTGGAGACGGACTCGTTAATCGTCGCGAGTCGGCCCCGCCGCATCGCGCACGCGGCACGAGGGGCTGAACGATGCTTGGCGCCGATCAGACGGAAAATGGGGAAAACATGCGGCGCATAATGGGCGGCATTGGTTTTCGCGCTCCGAAAAACAAATGATCGTGATGCCCACCGTCGCACACTGGGCCGATCGCCAGGTCTAGCTGGACATGGGTAAAAAATCGAACTTTGTGGATGTGCAATGAAACCTATACTAATTTGTTCTAAAATGATCATACTACATTGCTGTGGTCTTTGTTTTCCAACACAATTGCTATTTCATGGCGAAAACTCAGCTTAAACACGAACTTCGGAATCGTTTGGACCGAACTCGTCCCCCGCACTCTTCGACAGCGTATCTTTGATCCACGAAAACAATCACAATTTGAGGAGGGATTCCACATTTATATACATCAAACGATAGCTCTGGGTCTGCAGAACACACATAACCACATGAAAATGGCGAACTCTTACTTGGTTATGATGTATTTGTACCGCAAAGATTTAAAGACGAAAATATAATTTCACATAATTGATGTCACACACTTTAAGACTTTTAAAAAAGTACCGCGAAGTACCGCTTCGAAAATCTCGCTACATGTCGATGAGTCATTGCACTACAAGATCCAACAGTTATTTCTTGCGACTTTTTGCGACTTTGGATGTAGCAGCCAAACATTAACCCGCGCCGGACCGGTGCTCGGCGTCAAACGCGCCGGGCCGGGAGGTGTTGATTGAACACTCCCCTTCTAACTCGGCTCCTGGGCCACATAGCGACAAGTAGCAAGTGGCTGCGCCCGAAATTCCAGATAGAGTAATTAGTCATTTCTAGGTCAGGTCAAAGGTCACGTCACCAGAGGTCATCAAAGGTAAAATGTTGCATATAACAACATTTCTCGAAACACCGGCCCTTACCTCGGGGACCAATAGAGCTACATCGTCGCGGAAAAGTGCATTCAATTGATCCTTTAGCGGTCTTTCTGAAATAAGCCCTCAGATTTGGCTTAACCCTCGCCCCTAGTGGTGTTTTTCCAGCCGCGAACGTATAGGTAGAAGGGGTCCGTCGGACCCCCCCCCCCCCCCGCCGTTTCGCCCCTGATCGAGCTAGAGCTTCGCGGAAAAGACAAGCGTGTTGCCCGTGGCAAGAGGAAGCTGATGATACCCAATTGTAAGGTCCTAGGTCATCAGTTGACCTTCCAGGTCAGGTCAATGACCCAAAAGTCGGGAAAATCGGGACCTGTTAGAACGTCGTAAAGGGTGGCTGCTATGGGTTTTTTGGGTGCTGATCACGAATATAATGTTATTTATGATCGTAGATGATGTCCTTCATACATTTAGGCCAGGTCGGGTCAGGTCAGGTCAACCAGTAAGGGTTTTGCCGGGTATTTGCAGTAGGTGGCAACCCCCTCTGACAGCTGTAACATGTTACGAAGGCACCAAAGCTACATAGTAAATGTTCAAATGGCTGCTAGATTCGAATTCAGCTCCAAAAACTAGCCTAGAAACATGTAAAACTCGAAAAAGTGAATCAAGGTCATCAAAGGTCAATGACCTTACCTGACCTTCTGGTGACCTTGACACCCACCCTAATGCATGGGAGCAACATAATATCCCATGTTTGAACGCTTTAAACCACGAAAAGTCTGCAAACTCGCGGCTAATGCGAGCCGACATACGCTGAATCGCGATTCCGGCCAAACATGGTCTCGAAAGAAGGTCACAGGTCAAAGATCATTAAGGTCAGGGTCATGCAATTTTCAGTTTAGCTGTGAAATTAACCCGGCAGTTGCTGGGGTATTTCGCCACCCACCGTTTGCTGGGGGGGGGCGTTAAACGCCCCCAGCCGATAACTCGAGAACCAATAGGCGCAGCGAAACGCACGAGGCGGCAAACGAAAGGGCGCGACGAGACGCTTCAGATGAGTACTTATAAGTTGAATTTTGAGGTCACAGGTCGGGTCAAGGTCAGGTCAAACACCTGAAATCGGGCTTTCAGTAGCATGGACTTCAGGACTTCGCAATGGGCGCCTCTCGTCATAAACTCTGTCCAAACGGTGCACAATCCATCATATAAGGCCTACAAGAGTGTCAGCTCCATGTAGGGGTCAGTCAAGCATAGGTCAGGGTCAAGGTCAGGTCAACCGGGTAGGCACATATCCCCGAAAATCAAAACTGATATTCGCAGCCTGTGACACATGTTTTATAGGTAATTTGGGGCGTAGAACACGATGGTGACATTCATTATATCATATGTGTACGTGTTTGGCTCAAAAAGTTCAATTTAAGAAATGCATGTATCATGGTCGTGAAGTAGTCACGAAAAATTGCCAAGATTCAATTCAAGATTATGGAAAATGCGGAGCGATAATCAATAATCGAAGATAGCCATTTGATTGATCATGGTATTGGCAGTCTAATGGCGTTTACGGCATGTCTGTATGTCTATTCTGTGATTTTATATGATTTTTTGAACATATGCCGTTTTTGGTCGAAAACTCAGAAATCATGACGTCACTAAAACCTCGATATCTCAAAAATTTTCCGACCCATTTTTTTGAAACTCTGTCACAATAAACTCCAATCAATTCCCTATAGGTACCCAAAATTTGGCGCGCCTGCGGCGCGCCGTTTTTATGCTATGGCCCGGCGAAAAAATTGGGGGCGTTTAACGCCCCCCCCCAGCAACTCGCGGGTTAATTATCGCGAGGGTACTAAAAGTTTCGTTGCAATCGGCCGCTTTTTACGCGAATTACTCGCGAAAAACCGAGGGTTCCGTTCGAAGATTCAGGCCCTGTCGCGCTAGAAGGGCATATCGGCCCACTGTGCGTCGTCGCTGGATTGGGTGCGGTGAAGCGAGTGTCGCTGAATTACCGGCGTGGCGAGATTTGCGTTTTTACTCTCTATCACTATAACGAAGCTTTACTTCGAGAATACGCAATCGCTTGCGCATTTTGCAGGCAGTGTTGATGTGTGAAACCTTCCGCGCAGTTTTTCCATACTCGTATGATGATAAATTGTTCAACGTTTTATTACTATTGTCCACAATGTCTGTCACTCTGAAAACTAATTTGTTACTTGAGGTAAAATTTCGCTCACAGTTTACCGCAAAATGAAAAACTTCAAAAACGCTTCGAGAAGATTGGTCCTAATTTCTTTTGGAATAATTCCTAAGGATAAGGATTCCTAAGGAAGATTGGAATACCTAATTCCTAATTTTTTAGGGCTGCTTTGGCAGAACTATCTAAAACTATATTCATGAAATTGATCTGTTCAAAGATGGTAAATGAGCTTTCTCCAATTGAATTGAAATTCTCCAAGCTGAGCCGTTAATTCTCGATCAAAACTTTCAATGTAGGTATTTCACCAGGGACACTTTAACTCGTCCGTCTCATTCAGCCTGGAGAGCGTTGGATCCTCGGACCGATCGGGACTGGAATTGATTCGAAACTCTCTGTTCGCCGCTGATGGGAATAGTGTGCGGCCGATGCCACTGGTCACGTTCCGACCCGAATGGATTCGATGCGTCGGATGGACGGTTTTTGGCAATGTGCGAACGTTCAACCTTTCACTCAATTTCTGAAATAGCACGGAATTTCGCGATCGTGCAGTAGAGCTCGCAGACCGAGCCCATATATGTATCTCGCTCGCCGAAAAGAAAGGTTTTCAATGCGTCCTTTGGTAAAAGCCACAGATCATCTACATGTATGCATAAGGCCCAATGTATAAGGATGTATAAGGCCCGATGGTGATATCTGTAGTGCTCAATTAAAATATGAAGCATGTAAAATATTTTCCTTGTCATCCTTGAACAATAGGCCATTGATAGATATACCAATAATCAATAAAGGTCAAACTTCCTTGTTGTAGCACTTGCTGTATGTAAGGCATAGGTTAAGTTCTATGAAAAAAACACTTTTAAATGGCCTCCTTAGAATGAAATACCAAATGATGACATAATGAAATAATTATTGATGATCTCGACCACAGGTCATTATCAAAATAAGCCAGACAGACTTTACCATCAATAATTGTTTCATAAGGTATGCCATCATTTGGTATTTCATTGTAAGGAGGCCATTAAAAAGTTTTTTTTTCCTATACGTCAAACATCGGTATCACAAAATGTTATGCATTTTTTGATCAATATTTTAGAAACGATACGACTTGGAAGGTTCGGGACGTTTTTAATGGGTCACCCAGTAAAGGTTTAATTTTTGCATCGTGAACTCAATTCAGTAGGTTTGAGTACCAGTCAAAAGCATTTTGGATTCATTTCGCTGAAACGGAAAGTATGTACAGTCCACAGCAGAAGTAATGTGGGGTTTCAGTCATGGTTATGTTCTGTTTCTGAAGCTTAGGAACGATTAGCCAGACTACAATGAAACTTTGAATGTAGCTTATATGTATCGTCACCCTTGCAGCTGCAACTTTAGCTATCGACATCTTCTTTTCGATCACTCCGCATTAAACAATCGCCAGTCAAAGCCAACCGTTGAGATTGGTAAAACCCTACATTACTTTAGCGGTGGGCTGTAAGTGTACAGGGTGTCTCAAAAGTTCGCTTACAGGTACCAGCCATGCTTTTTTGTCAATAATTCTGAATCAACATGAAATTAACAGTCGAAATTTTGCATGGGCATTGGTAACAACCTTCCTCAAGCAGCTTCATTGTTTTCAAGCGCATTCGACCCTTCATGAGCTCACAAATGACAATTCAGACGACCACGTTGTCTGAAGTCCTTTATCGGTCGCCTCGGCCACGCACACACGCGGTCTTTGACCTACACCAGACTATGGAGGAACAAAGGAGGGTAGGTGTGACGTCAGCGAACGAGATGACGTCAACAGCTCGGTATCGGGTGCCCCATGGGCCCAAGTACCGCAGTGCGCAGCCGTCGACCGAGGCGCACACATCTGTCAAATCTGTTCCCTCTGTTTACCTCGAGGTGCACCGAAGGTCCAGCCGGTTTCTACAGCTTCGCACCGTTTACCAGTAAGGGTTGCGGGGCACACGCGCATGGCGTGCAATAAGCCCCATCGGCTGTTTCAGGGAATTTTCCCACGATAGAGACTGGGAGCAGGGAGGGGAAGCCGTTGTCCGCGGGACGGTCAATGCAGGACAATTACGCAGGAGCAAGGCGGGTCAGCGTGCTCTCTTCGCCCTAGTGCAACCCCAGCTAATTGATTCAAGTGCACCTGGTCGACGTAGGCTACGCCTCGAGCTGTCCCAAGATTGTGAAATGACAGGCCCCTGAACGACCATCGCCTTAATTCAGGCGTCGGTTTGCCGTCACACACTGGCGGATCTAGTTCAGTGGCTTGGGAGGGGCAAACAATATTCAATAACAATGAAATGGTTATTTCCATGCACTGGTTACATTTATGGTAGCATGCACTGTATACATGCAGGGTGCCAGGTTTTATACGCGTAATCTAATGATTTTGCTGGTTGGGCGGGGGAATGCCCTCCTTGCCCTCCCCTGGTTCCGCCACTGGTGTCGCCGCCGTTATCTCACCGTTGTTATCTCTCGCTCGTCGCCGTGGGTCGGCCCACGTGGCCGGTGCGGAGAGCCAGAGGTCCCGTGTTTGGTTTGTCCCGTGCTTTGATTGGCTTCGCCTCGCCGGTCGGCGTGACGTCACCTTGCGGCTGTCCCCATTCCTAGGGGGAGGTATTGGCGTTGCGCCGTTCATGCTCCGCCTCCAGTTGACGTCATAGGTGACGTCGTCCGACCATGGACGATAGCATGGGCGCTCGGCGTAACTGTTTGCCAAGGCCCGTGGCGCCGATGATAAGGATGCCGCCGTAGCCGAGTGGTTAGAGTCTCGGTCTGGGGAACGAAATGTGGGTGATTCGGCTCCCGCCGTTGCGGGTTATTTTTTTTTTTTTCTCCTGATTGTGTAATGACGTCCTCCCGCCATTCTAGTGCAACTCCACAGGGCGATTGCTGTAGCCCGCATAATGGGACCGGTGGTATATTAATGTGTCTTCCCGCCATTAGGCGCGACTCTGCCACGGATATCTGTCAGCATGCAGAGTAGGACTAGTTTTTGCTCATTTATGTCCTCCCGCCAATCGGGCGCGACTCTGACAGCGTTTGTTTCAGTCAGCGGATTGTGACACTAAAATGATACGCAGGGTGGGACCAATGATACCTATTCCTCTCGGCGCTCGGGCGCGACTCTGCCATGGACACTTGTCAGCCTGCAGAGTGGGACTAGTTTTGTGTCCTATCGCCCATCAGGCGCGACTCTGACGTGAGCGTTTGTTTCAGCCAGCAGAGTGGGACAAACGACATGACGCGCAGGGTAAAATCAGTGATATCATGATATGTCCTCTCGCCACTCGGGCGCGACTCTGCCATGGACAGTGGTCAGCATGCAGAGTGGGACCAATGATATTTATGGTATGTCCTCTCGCCGCTCAGGCGCGACCCTGCCATGGACAGTTGTCAGCATGCAGAGTGGGACTCGTTTTGTGTCCTATCGCCATTCGGGCGCGACTCTGACGTGAAGGTTTGTTTCAGCCAGCAGGATGAGACAAATATGATGCGCAGAGTGGGACCAATGATATTTATGGTATGTCCTCTCGCCGCTCGGGCGCGACTCTGCCATGGACAGTTGTCAGCATGCAGAGTGGGACTGGTTTTGTGTCCTATCGCCATTCGGGCGCGACTCTGACGTGAAGGTTTGTTTCAGCCAGCAGGGTGAGACAAATATGATGCGCAGAGTGGGACCAATGATCTTATGGTACGTCCTCTCGCCGCTCGGGCGCGACTCTGCCATGGACATTTGTCGCATGCAGAGTGGGACTAGTTTTGTGTCCTATCGCCATTCGGGCGCGACTCTGACGCGAGCGTTTGTTTCAGCCAGCAGAGAACCAATGATATTATGGTATGTCCTCTCGCCGCTCGGGCGCGACTCTGCCATGGACAGTTGTCAGCATGCAAAGTGGGAATAGTTTGTTGTCCTATCGCCAATCGGGCGCGACTCTGACAATGGCGATTGTTTCCGCCAGCAAAGGGAGCTGACTTATGCCTGCGAGAGAAATTAATTATATGTCCTCCCGCCATGTCGGCGCCACTCTGCAACGGGCCTTTATCAGCCCGGAGAGTGGGACTAGAACAACGTTATATGTTACCCCAGGGGCGATGATCTTTGTGTACTTGTAGCATTCCGACTGGCCAGCACGATGCTCCTGGTGTTCGGCGATAGCTTCGCCTCTTGGGCCAGTCGCCGCTGCGAGCTGCAGGCAGCCGTACAATCGGTCGGCTGACGTGGCGGTCGGTTGTCAGACGATCGGTTTCGCGCATGGGCCAGCGGAGCTATCGGGCTCCGGCCAGATCGCATCCTATTGATGATCGGTGGCAATGACCTTACTCAAGTCAGTTTCAGCACGCAGCTTATAATGCAGCGGTTCATGGAGCCAGTCCTCGGCCTCTGCGCCACAGGGGCGGAGGTTCACGTGTTCCAGGTGCCGCCGCGTTCTTCCTCCCGGCGTGGCTCGGCGTCTGTGACTGCGCACCGGCGGCGGAGGCGTATCGCCAACCTCCTCTTCCGACGGCGCTTTGCGCGGTCAACCGCCGATGAGACGTCTGCGTTTGTCATTTTCAGCGACGGAGGAGTTTATTGGCTCGGATGGCGTCCATTCCTCGGCGGTAGGGTAGCGAGCCCTTACTCACGTTATCAACGCGCTGGCCGTTCTCCCCCCCCCCCCCCCATAAGGTGCATCTATAGTGTGCTTCACAGTCGTGGCCCGTGGCGCCGCCTGTGCAGTCTGTGTAAGAGCCCATACTCATTAGGTCCATGTTTCCCGAGCAATTGGATTAGCCTATCGCTTACCGCAATGTGCACCGCAGTCAGGTTGTGGATAAACTGAGGTTTGACTGTGAGCTTTGATAAAGATTGTGGATACTCTGAGCTAAGCTGGTGGGAAATGTTTCCAGAGCTATGATATTAGCCTGTCACTGCCGCTATGTGCATTGCAGTCGGATGGTGGATAAACGCCAATGCTCTGACGGAGTGTTCTCTTTTCATTTTCATGCTGCCAACGAGAGATGCCGAAGGCGCGGGCCCCATCCCGCGGTCGAGCCGCCGCCGCTGCATCAACGCCGTCGAATGTCGGTGGCTCGGGTCGGCGCAGCCGCGGTGTTCCCGCTGCCGCCGCACAGAGTCAGCCTCAGGTCTGTGTCGACCCGACACAGCTTCGGAACATCATCCAGGACGTGGTGCAGGAGGCGCTGGACGCCTCCGCCGCATCGAGACCCGCGGCCGCTCCGGCGCCGTCCTACAGCCACAGCGTCCCGGCACCCACCGGTTCAGCGCCGTACGACCCACTAGAGTCCCCGGAGAGCAGTCCGCTCGGTAACGCACAAGTGGTCTGCGATGGTACCGAAACGGTATCGGCCGCCCTCCGCCAAAAAATCGTGGAGGACCGCTTTGTTGACCTCGGCCTGCTGCTGGACCATGCCGACGGAGCACGGGCGGAGACGAATCAGGCGTTCCAGTTGGTGGACGGGCAACTCCGCCCGGCTTCACGAGCTCCGCGCGTCATCACTTCTTTTGGCACGTGGTGCATCGCATTCCTCCGCTATGCAGGAGTATACGTACAATCGCGTCCTGCCGCGGCGGCGGGCCTCATGGCTCACATGCGACAGGTGGGCCAGCTGACAGGCGCGGGGCTAGGGCTCGCCTGGCGCGAATACGACGAAGCCTTCCGCAAGGCGCGTGAGGTGGCTCCCCAGTGCCATGAGTGGGGCACAACCGCCAGCTCCTCCCCGCTTTGGCTACAGGCCGTCGCCAGGGGCATCGGCACCGCAGCGAGAGTCGGCAATCCCCCGGTGCGGCCTGTTGAGACCCCTATGCGATTTCGGCCCTGCTTCGCGTACAACACAGCTCGGGGCTGCCCTGCCCGATCATGCCGCTACCAACATGCGTGCCGTACATGCCGCGGCGATCACCCGGCCACCCGCTGTGCGTCACAGCTCGCGCAAACACGCGCACGCATTCCCCGACCCAATGCCGGCCCGACAGCTGCCGGTGCTTCCCGCTAGCTACAGCTTGTGCTGCGCGTCCAGCCCATGGCGTCGACACGGCAAGGGGATCAACTCTTGGCCGCGGCGCCATGCGCCATGACAGCCAGCCCGGCATGGACCATTGCGCTAATCCCGACACGATGAGGGTGCGGGACGCCTCTCGTCGCGGGTCAGCGCGACTGTACTATAATAGTTAGCCAAGGATGCGGTGGGGTTACGAGTGTTCACTGTTCTCGATTAGGTGTTTATTCTCGATTAGGTGTTTTTGCTGCGCTGCATTGCCGTTGCTCCGGGCGTATTTCCTACAACAGTGGCGCTACTGCGGCTTCCCGAACATGACGTCGACACGGCAAGGGGATCGCCCTTGGCCGCGGCGTCATGCTTTGTGTCATGTCGCAATGGCAGGGTCACGCGCCCACTATTTATTCAGCAAAGGTAGCGTTTGTGTGGCAAATGATTATGCACAGTGTGTTTCATGCTGCAGCGCAGCTCCGACACGGCCGGTGCCATGTGGCTCCGGGCCGCGGGGCTGCGATACCACCGGACAACGCGCAAACTGCACTATTATACATACATATCGACTGCATCAAACCCCAGCGTGGCCACCACATTGGGTTCAGGCTCCCACACCGCAATTCTCTGTTAACGGATGGAGTCCGTTTACTTCTCCCGCTCGCGCCACAGCTCCGTCGTCTCGTGGTTCGGTGGGGTGGTGGGCATGTGTCACCTCACCAAAAACCGGTCTAGCTGAATACAGTCCCAAAATCACAGTCCGGTTTTTGCGAGCACGAGAGCGACGGATAAATGACAATTCAGACGACCACGTTGTCTGAAGTCCTTTATCGGTCGCCTCGGCCACGCACACACGCGGTCTTTGACCTACACCAGACTATGGAGGAACAAAGGAGGGTAGGTGTGACGTCAGCGAACGAGATGACGTCAACAGCTCGGTATCGGGTGCCCCATGGGCCCAAGTACCGCAGTGCGCAGCCGTCGACCGAGGCGCACACATCTGTCAAAAAAAGGGTTCACCTCTGACCATGGATCAGGCATGAAAATGGAGGTCGCATACTCGGGTCGACTGAGAAACTCTCTGCTTCACGAGTAATGGGAATGGTTAGGTCGGAAATGACACATGGCAAAGTGTCGGCGAGGATGAGTACAACATGATGGTCATCTAATAAAAACGGTGGCTAAAATTTTTGAAGGACAAAACCATGCGAGGCTAACAGCGCTTTGAACGACCCTTGTACCGCAGCAGACTCGTGCTCCGGAAAGCAGCTGAAAATGCAGTCCTAACTATTGAAAACTGACTAGAAGCTCACAGACAGAAGTTATCCAGTTTCAAAAATTGCAGGTCATCATAAAATAAAGACAAAATATCATTTAAAATTGTTTATAATATCTATAACGCTAAATTTTGAGGGAAAATAATGCGAAAATCGTCAATGCCGAGGACAAGTGACCCTCCAAAAGTGTCAATTAATGTAAAGTTTTATCTAACGAAGTTTCAAGAGGCAGATTTGGAGCAAATAGCTTTCTTTTACACACAAAATCCGGACAAAACCGCACGATGGACAGGTTTTGGCCGTTTACAAAGCAGAACCTCTCCTGAGGAAAACACTCCGGAACCCAGCGAAGGTCTTGGCATTGGGAATGACGAGCGTTCGGGATTTGCAAATTTTGCAAAATGTGTCTAAGAAACAGATGGCCGACACATTCTACTACGATATGCTGCGAAAAATTTGCCCCTGGCACTTCCCATTTGTTCAGGAATGGGGTTGTTTTGAAAAGGAAAATGGTGCTTGGGAGGTCGGCGCCAGTCATTCATGAAGGAGTTAGCGCCAGAGAAGACCTACAAAATACTCACGGATGGTGTTGATGCAAGCTATCGGCTTTCAGGGAGAAGCGGATGTTGCCGGGGAGCTCGTCAAACCTAAATCCGACGCAGCAACTGCGGGGGATTCCCCTACAAGAGCTTGAAAGCTGGTAACCTTTTATCAGCCTCCGGCAGCTGACGGAGTGACGAAAATCGGTATGGGCAAATATTTTTGGAGATACAGCAAAGGGTTTGGTTTCCAACCTTCCGAATCAGTTGTCAAAGCATGCATATTTGTCTAGTGTACACACGGACACCAAAACCTTAGATTTTTGGCCGGTTCTTATATGCTTTATTGACATGGGAAATGTGTAAGCGAACTTTTGAGACACCCTGTACACCTTGTGTATAGCAGATTGCATGATCCTGCAGTTCAATACTTAATATGGCACTATGGTTATTTTTATTGCGCGGAAAGTTCCTGAATTTAAAAGGGAGATTGAAAATTGTTGTGTTTCTGTTATATAAAAACAGTGCCGTGGAATCCACGCTTTTACGTTGAGGTGCAGACTGCCGGCTGTGTGGCCAGAAGATGGCAGTGTGGAGACGGCTGCCCGGAGACCGACAGAGCGTCCTTGACCGTGTGAACTGCCCGGAGTCGGGCGGAGCGCCGCGCGGAGACGACCTCTCGCAGTCCGGCGGAGCGTCCGTGCGGAGACGACCTCTCGCAGTCCGGCGGAGACGGCCTCTCGCAGTCCGGCGGAGACAACCTCTCGCAGCCCGGCGGTGCGTCCGTGCGGCTGGGGCCGCGCGGTGTGCTGATGCGGCGCTGACCAGCACTCGAGACATGCATGTCACGCTGCTGCCGAGCCATCCTCTCGGACGAGTGCACATCAGTCGCTGACGTGGTCGGAACGCCGCGCGGACGGCCGATATGCAACTACAGGCGACTATTGTCAATTGGTTGTTGAATCACTAGCGGTAATTCGTGGTATGTAGTTACTGGTTGGTAGGTAATTCGATTGTTTTGTTTCCTGTTATGCTGGCATGATACTGGTCGGTGTCCCAAAAGCTTATAGATGTACATATTGATTCGTAGACCAATTTTGCTTGCAGGTCCCATTTTTTCGTTATGCCTAGCCCCTAGGTAACGAAAAGGTCAATTTTGTGCATACTTTTTCTAATCGGTCAAATTAGCCGCCAAAATCACACTTACTAAAATTATATTTTTAAGTTGTAGACCACATTAAAAAGAAAACAAAATCAAATTTGCCATAAAACTGAGTCACTTATACAGTTACACAATACACACTAACTAAATCTGGAAACCTCTTTTGAAATTTGAGCTCATTTGACCCGTTCGTGACAGGTGATGTGACAAGTTAAACTGAGGCATCAAAGACCTCCCTCCCTCCCTCTAATAAGAGGGGATGGCGAGACACTCGGGCCTAGGTTTGCTAGCGGTGCGACACGGCCCGCCACGCTGCCCCCCCCCCCCCCCCATTTCCGGGATTATCCTCGATGCCAGTGGCGCGGTGTAATTGCCTTTTGTCGTCTCCCAGTGTCGGATATTGCAAATGGGGAATGTCAGCTGCACTAGAATTATCTGCGAAAACGCCGAATTACGTCCGCCCACACGCCCACGTGATCAATTGATATTTGATATCAGTAGGAAGTCTGTGAATGAGAGGAAAACTCATTTTGTCTTCGCAAGATAAGGTCAGTAACGCAGTGCTGAGACGTGATTCTGTGCGGTGTATTGATCTATATGCTGTTATAGGGGCTATAAAAACAACTATGTGGGTGGAAATGTCACTATGCGAGAAAAAGATGAAGGGAGCGAAGGAAAGAGGGAGAGAGCGAGAAAGAAAGAGCGGGCTGAATTTAGCTCAGCACTGGGCAGTCCGGCTCACGGCGCTCTAGGATATTAGCTCGATCAATAACCGTACCGGAAAGTACTGGTACGAGCATGACAAATTAGCCGTTGATTCATCAGAAACAGCTGCGTCAGCTGCAGATTTGTCAGTCATCACTCTTTGAAACCTAAATGGAAAGTGGATTTGTTGGAGTTTACTCGGAACAACAAGAAGAGCACAAAACAAGCCGTTAATTTTCTGATGAAACAATGGATTCTTTGTAAAAGCAAGTACAATTTCCAAATATTTTGTTTTACAAGGATGATTTTTGTGTGCCGTCCAGGCCTGCTGGCTACGGTGGCCAACGCCGGCTCGCTGGTGCTGTTCGTCACGACGGCCTCGCTGCGCACGCGCGCCAACCACCTCATCACCAGTCTGACCGTCAGCGACCTGGGCATGGCGGCCACACAGATCCCGCTGCTGGTGGTGAACAGCTTCAGCCGCCGCTGGGCGGCCCCCGTCTGGATGTGTCAGGTGGGGTTGAGCGCGCCGCCGCCGGGCGCTCTCGCGGGGCAGGAGGGCATGAGTGGTAGGCCAGATTTTCCCACGGGGATGTACGAAGTACAGCCCCGTGTGTTAAGTACTGTACGATGTGTTAAGATTTGTGCTCTTTTGCTAGTCCATCTGCTGAACGATAGTATTTCACTCCGTGTTACTGACTGGCTTGAATGTAACGGAGATATTGTATGGTGTGAGACCCCGTATGACTTCGACCTGGGCCGGGATACCGTCACCATTTTTTTTTTAGTTAACCAATCCATTAAACCTTGTCAAAGTTTGTTTGGCTCATGTGCATTACCGCGCGGAAAAATGACGGGGATCCCGTTCGGCAGGTGTACGGCTTTTGCGGCGGGGTGTTCGGCACGGCCTCCATCATGAGTCTGGCCATGATTGCCGCAGAGAGAAGAGCTGTCCTCTACCGTACCCCCAGTAACTAGCCGCGTCTGATGGTCAGAGGTGGAAGGCGGCATGCCGTGATTTTGCTCAATCAAGCTGCAATAAAAAGGTTGTTTGTTACTCTATGACTCACTTATTAATGCCTTCACAGACTGTGTAGTCTGTGTTAAAGTCTGTGTATATATAAAAGTCATGTCTAATACTAGGATGTTGCAAAATCGAACGCATTATAGTCATACCAGCCAACGTTTGTTGAAATGTGTGATGATTGATAATGAAAGTACAAATGTTGCACATTTGCAAAAAGAAAAAAAATAAAGAATGAGTACGTAAAAGAAGTCATATAATTTGAGCCGTAATCGACATTATTAAAAGCTAACATATTTCACCCATAAAAGAAAGGTAGTCGCTAAGTGAGCTACGGCATAAGTGAGTAATATGTATGCTACTAATGAGGCATCGTAGTCTTTATTTACAACTACGACCTCCATGCTATCATGCTTGGAATGTCATATTATCAAAGCTTTTCTTAAGAACACAGTCAAGGTCGTCGTTTTAACTAGAAACCACTCACCGTGAGATAAGATGGCGAAGAAACGCGTCTCGTTTAATCTTTTCCATCCTCAATGTGCTGGTCGGGTGGTGCCCCTGTTTGTCTCGTTAGGAGACGGCACCCTCCGACATTTCTCCGGGACGAAACGAGCTAATTTCGAGCTTAGCGTCCGGGCAGAAGTAATTCGGAAGTCATCCCTTTCGAGCATCGCCCGGACGGTGGTAAGGAGTAGCCGCTGGAGGTGGGAGACGTTTGCCCAACTTCTATTAGCTTCTCGAGTGGCGCATCATTGCAATTGTTGGCGAAACCGATATAAAGTCCAAGTAATTTAAGAAACTGTGTATTTATTCCTACCCCCCCCCCCCCCCCCCAGGCTGTCGTGGGTACGGAAATAGCCCAGGCGGTGCCGGGTTAACCCTCGTCCTGGCAGGGGGCGGTCGATGCGACCCCACCCCCTAAGGTTTTTCGAAGATAGCGTAAAAACAAATTTGGCACAGCTTATGGGGCAACCTTTTTACATATGACCTGAAAATTTCAGGTCCGGGTGACCTTGGGTCAGGTCACCAGGTCAGAAAAACCGGTACA